TTTAAAATGGCGGATCCAAGATGGCGGTAAAAATTTGGTGTATATTTTTTAATTTATTGAAAATTAGTACACAAAGGTTTTTGGGATCTCTAATCTCGATTCTGAATTCAGAATTTCGAAATTTAAAATGGTGAATCCAAGATCAGATTGATTTTTTTTTGTTTTTTTTTTACTTTTATATTTTTATCTTCTCACCTTCAATTTTTTAATTATCTTAGCTTTCTAATTCATTTCAATCTTTCAGGAATGATACTTCAAAAAGCAATTTCTGTCTACTTGTAAGCATAATGGTACGTTGCACGTACTACATGACCATTTAGTTTGCACATCTTTTGTTTTTGTACTGCAGTGAGCGCATCTCCTATAATTATCAATGGGTGTTGGCATATGAGCAGATAGAGAGCGTCTTTTTTCAACAGAAACTTGTGGTTTGTGAAGATTGGTTTGTGTAGGTTGTCGCTTTCTTTCTTTTTTAGTTGGAATTTTGTGAGAAACCAATCGATCCACTAAAAGTAGTCTGAACTTCTTCAATGTTATAGGATTATCAGCGTTTATTTTTGAAAATATGATGAATGAATTTATAATAGTTAGATCAATGAAATGCCAAAATAATCTGTGCCACCACTTTTTGGACTTTCGATCTATTTTATATGTAGATAACAAACGATCAGTGTTATCGACAAATCCCATGTATTTGTTGTAATCAGAGCACATGACTGGACAATCTACCTGCACTCGTGTGCCATCTTTCTGTGTTCGATTTACTATTGTCACTTCGGATGGATCATGGTAATTTGACAGGAACAAACACCTTTCTTATCCATCCATTTTATCCAAGTAATACCAGTATCAGACGTTCGAAAATCGTATTGTCCATGTTTCATTTGTTTGTCAAGCATTACAGATTTAGGTAACCCAGTACGATTGGAACGTACAGTTCCGCAAGTAAATATTTTGTCTTCTTTCAGTGAAATTAATAGATCGACACCAGTGAAGAAATTGTCAAAGTACACATGCTGATTTTTACCAACAAGTTCACGCGTCAAATCTTTGACAACTCGTGCTCCTAACTGTTTCTCAGAACTTTCGGTTTTGCCAGTATAAACTTGAAATTCACATACGTAACTGGACTCATCCGCACGAACCCAACATTTATATCCTCGTTTTATTGGTTTTGCTGGCAAGTATTGCTTCAGGCTACTTCGAACTTTGAATTTTATCATGGATTCATCGATAGATTGATATTTGCTTGGTTTCCAGCAAGTTTTGAATGTTTCTTGAAGTCTATCCAGCAATGGTCTCAATTTATACAATTTATCACAATTAGGCTCACCTTTTTTAGGTTCTGTGCTGTTGTCGGATATATGCAAATTACCTAATATGAATCCGAAACGAATAACCGGCATTAGCGAGCTTATATATGAATCCTTCAACTTTGTGTCACTTGACCAATAGTCGCGATAAGAAGGCAGTTTTTTTATTCCCATCAGAATATTAATTCCTAGAAAAATCAGTAACTCTACTTTTTTGATCAATTGCTTTTCCTAAGTTTTCTCCGCCATTTTTAATTTTGAAATTCTAAGTTCAGAATCGTGATCAGCGATCCCAAAAACCCTTGTATACCAATTTATACGAAAACTGGTTTCTCTGAAAAATGTATGCCGCAAAGGGTTAAAATAATGTTAAATGAATAAAATAATATTCATTTTATGCTCCGAATCAAATCATAGTATTTAAAACTAAACAAATATTGTAATTAATATTATTAAAAAAAACTAAATAGTGTTTTAGCATCCATAGTAGTTTCATGATAAATCAGACGAGTTCACAAATAATTAATCATAAGATTTCTGTATTTTTGCGTCATATAAATTTATTATTGATTCCCTAGTCTTAAGTAACAATGTTGAATTGCAATTAAGTACTGCGACAAACACCTATTTGCTGAAATTTATTAATAATAATTGATAACAAGAGGACTTTTTGGAGGACTTTTTGGAGAACTTTTTAGAGGACTTTTTCGAGGAATTTTTTGAGGACTTTGTCAAGGGTTTTTTTAAACCTAATTAATTAATAGAAATTAATAATAAGAATCGATTGAGTACCTTCACAATCACGGTACACTCAACAATTACGGGTTGTGTTGGAGAAATTTTGCACGAAAAGGCATAGCAGCGTACCGATTTCCAGCTGAGACGTGAATACTTAATTCTCGCGCGTTTATTGACTTAATTTTCCCGCTCTGAAATCCGAGCTGGCCCTCTTAATCCATATCCACGTCGTGAAGATTACAGAAAATTACTCACCAAAATGTGTAATATCTTACGTAACCGAAATAAAAATAACTAGCTATAAAAAGTTTAACAATATAATAAGTATGTAAATTTGACAATAAAATAATAAAAGTATAGTTATTAAAAAATGTCAAAACGATCCTCGAAAATAATTTTAAAAATAAATATCATATTTCAAAATAAAAAAGTCCTCAAAAAAAGGTCCTCAAAAAAGTCCTCCAAAAAGTCCTCGAAAAAGTCGTCGAAAAAGCCCTCCAAAAAGTCCTCGACAAAGTCCTCGAAAAAGCCCTCCAAAAAGTCCTCGAAAAAGTTCTTAAAAAAGTCCTCAAAAAAATCGTCGAAAAAGTCCTCCAAAAAGTCCTCTTGTTATCAATTATTATTAATAAATTTCAGCAAATAGGTGTTTGTCGCAGTACTTAATTGCAATTCAACATTGTTACTTAAAACTAGGGAATCAATAATAAATTTATATGACGCAAAAATACAGAAATCTTATGATTAATTATTTGTGAACTCATCTGATTTATCATGAAACTACTATGGCTGCTAAAACACTATTTAGTTTTTTTTTATAATATTAATTACAATATTTGTTTAGTTTTAAATACTATGATTTGATTCGGAGCATAAAATGAATATTATTTTATTCATTTAACATTATTTTAATAGACTCATCTTAACGGCCGTAAAACGAAAATAGAAATTTTCTCACGAAAATTTACGCATCTCCAGGCTAGTTGAAAAATTAATCTGACATTCAGAACCCAACCCTAAGAACATCACTCTACAAGTGACGTAATTACATGAATGCAGTCTTGTAATTACCATAATCTTGGTGCGAATAATCATGTTGATGAATTTATCATTTAACAATCTGGCTTTCGGGCGCTGCTTTTCGCATGGATTAAAGCGTATGTGATGCTATATTATTTACATGGTCTATGAAATAATTATAATTGGATTATTGATTTTGTCAGTTAATCGTGCGTCCTCTAATTTTATATTATTGTCGATCAATCGATAGGACTCGATCTATAAAATGAATATGAGTCTATCGGCTTGGGGAGTTCATGTCGCGCATCAAGGTTGAGTACCGCTTCCATATAGCCGCGGCGCGCGCTGGCTAGCCCCCCTAGCCGCTCCGCGCTCGCCCTGTCTTTTAAAGCCATGCGCTGATTGGTCGATCTTTCAAGTTAATTATCTAATTACCTAATTATCGGAAAAAAATTTATAATGGTATCTTGAATAACTTTTCAAGACGAATCCAACGGTATCCATACTTACATATGTTTTTGAATCACCCTGTATATATAGGCAAAGTCTAGGAAGTGTTTTTAACATACGCTTTCGCAAAATTAAAGAAAAATTAAATACATGTTAGATGTATTTTCCGGACGCGCTTCTTGAGTTAATCGGCGTATACGAGGTGATTGTTCAGTAATTCCATATTCTCCTCTCTTGCAATTTATGTTTACGGCAGCGTTGGTTAGTTTCTGCTTCTTGAAGTGAACAACCTTTATTGGCATGAAGACTTTCGGAGGAGGTTTTGGAAGAATAGCAGGTTAGAATAATTATTTAATAATAGTACCGCTGGTGCTCATCGTGTAACAGCACATGAAAAAAATAACTAAATAAATTGATAATTGTAAATTATTTTACAATTCACTGCGCTAGTGCAATTCGGAGTACGGAGTCGCTGGCCTTTCTTGGACCACCTAGCAGTAATTCACCGATTTTTATTATTAATTATCAAATAGCCCGTTACAGACCCTACGTCTTGTTCAGAGTACAATTCGGGAACTTCACCGCTAACTCTATTCTATTGACTAACTGTGTTAAAACGGCGCCTAATATTTCTGTATTACTGGTATCGGTTGTCAGGACAAATTTCTTTTCGAGATCGGGTAGTTCTAGAATTGGAACGATGATTATGAGGTGTTTAGTATTTTCTTATAAACGCTTCCTTACAGTCTTCTTCCTAGTGATAGGAGACCACATTTTTCGTCAACCAGATAAGCGACTCTACAATAGAAACAAAATCATCGATGAAACGCTGATATCAAGATGCCATGCTTAAGAAACTTCTCAATTCATTGGAATACTCCACTATGGACCGAATCATTTCTAGATCGATGCGATGCTGATTATTTGTGAAGTATCTTCATGTTATTTAAATTTAAAATCACAATATTACTCATTTTATGATACAATTTCCTTTTTTGCGTTAGACAGAGTGTAAATATAGTTAGAAACAAAGAAAAAAAATTTCGTATTTAGCACCTACGGTTCCACCTACTATAAGTAAACATTTTTAATTTTCGTAATAATAAGTATACTACTGAGCTATTAAGGTTTTTATGGATAGTTGCAAATATTTGTTTGTTTTTTTATATGTGAAACCTTTTACCCTTGTTGGATCAAAAATGAATCATTCAATTTGAACTCATACATATCGCACGATCTCTATCCAATATTCCGCAGACCGAGATTATAAGTACCTTGTTATTTATCAAAAATTTATCGTCATACATAATACTAATGATTCATTTTATCATGTTTTGAATATGACTTTTTCTTAAATTTTATAATTTCTTGAAAAACTAAATTTCTAAATGAATTTAGAAATATTTTTTCTTTGCTTTGACATTTACAACCGTCCATGATGATAAATATTTTAATGCATAGGATACTTATATACATAGTTATACATAACGGCTTTGTAGGGCATAGAACAGAGATTCTTATACAATTTATAATAAATTAATATTAATAACTTTGGTATACGACAAAATTCAATTGAGATGATTTTATTGATAAATATAGTTGTTACTGTCAGTATAATTCATAACCAGGAATAGGAAATGTTTTTGCATAGTCTTCAACTTCATTTTTTAACTTTGATATTTTTCTTAAAATATCAGTATCTGTTTGTAATATGTGTTTAAAATCGACTAGTTTAGGACCAGATTTTGATGTTATTTCTTTCGCTAATTGTAATCCTGCAACGACAAATTATTAATTGAATGAAAGAATGATGTAATATCTTTGAAAGTACCTCACCTTTATTGATAAATATGGCGACTTTATCCATATCATCTTCCCTCAAACCTCGAGTTGTTAATGCAGGAGTACCTAATCTTATACCACTAGGATTAAATGCACTTTTATCGCCCGGAACTGTGTTTTTATTGCAAGCTATAGAAATCGCTTCCAAAATTTTTTCAGCTTTTGATCCAGTAAGATTAGTAGGACGCAAATCAATCAGTAACATGTGAGTATCTGTACCATTTGTACTTATTTTATAACCTAAATTTTGTAATTGAGAACATAGTCTTTTTGCGTTAGAAATAACTTGCTTTTGATAGGCCACAAAAGAAGGCGAAAAAACTTGTTTCATAGCTGTCGCTATACCAGCTATAGCATGATTGTGCGGACCTCCTTGCAATCCAGGGAAAATCGCTTGATTTATTTTATTTTCAAAATCATACATAATATTTTCACCATTTTTTCCAATATATTTAACACCTTTCCGAAAAAACACTACACCAGCACGTGGACCTCTGAAAAAAGAAACGTAAGATTCAATATTGTAGTTATAAAAATAATATGTTAATAACATAGACATATAATATGAGAAATATTAAGCCCTTATAAACAGTAAAATTATATATATGTTAATAATAATTAATCGTATTGAAAAATTAATCCAAAATTTTTCCAAATATTTTAATTTTTATAACGAAATAAGAATGTTTATAAATCAGAATGAAATAATATTATTCAGAAATCTTGGGAAAATGATAGTTTATGTAGTTTATATAATGTATTTCAGTAACTATCATTCTAATTGATAATTAAATATTTTAATACTCTCCATCATTAAAGATTCAATAAACTAAATTACAAAGTTATTGAGAGTGACACTCAAACTCCAACTAAATAATAATATACAATTGATTATGACAACGTTTCGCTGGTTTGCCTTCCAGCCTCCTCAGGTCTTTTATTAAATTGTCAACAATGTAACATGTAGAAATTCAAATTTTCTTAAATTCATATTAGTTTAGTTAGTTTATTTATTTAGAACTTATATGTTACATTTGGTTTTCATTTCTTACATTCAATTGTGTCTCGTGTCTAGTTTGTGTAATTGATAATGTCTGTGTTTTGTGTGTATGTGTGTGTGTGTGTGTATGTGTGTTTTGTGTATATGTGTATGTATGTAGGCGTGTCTGTAACTCTTGCGTCCCTGTCTTCTGCTTCTGTCTGTTCAGCTTTTCTTCCCATTTCTCTGTTGATTAATCTTCTCTTCCTCTCTCTCTCCTAGATCTGCCTTTTCCGCTCTTGTTTTTCTCTTTCTTGCTTATTTTCTTTTCGTCTTCTTTCTTTGTTACTTTCTTTTGCCTTTTTACCGTTGCCTTTACTTTGCTTTTGCTCTCTTTCTTGTTAATCATTTCATCTGTCTTTCTCCTTATTAGGGTTTTGGCACGTTTTTCTCATTTCCTATTGCTCCCTCTGCCTTTCCTCAATCTCACTTATTTTCTTTAGTATCTTATAATTTTTCTTCTGGTTTTCCTTTTTCTTTCTCTTCTTCGATTCTTCTTCTTTTCCATTTTTGCTCCTGCATCCAATACCTGTTTCCTCTCGTTTGTGTAGTTGCTAGTACTTGTGTTTTGTGTGTGTGTATGTGTATGTGTATGTTTGCGTGTGTGTGTGTGTTTTGTGTGTATGTTTGCGTATGTAGATGTGTCTGTGAGTTTCGCGTCTCTGTCTTCTGTTTCCTTCTGTCTTTAGGCTCTTGAAATTTCGTCTTCTTGTTTTTTTTTTCTTTCTTCTCTTCGTTTCTTCTTTTCCATTTTAGCTTAATCATCCACGCTATCTTTTCTTTGCTTCCTATTATTATTTTTTCCCATTCTTCCCCATCCTTTTTGCTTTTTTCATTTTTTTACTCTATAGTATATTTATAGTATGATTTGTGACTTTGAATCCTTTGGTTGTTGAATAAGTTTATATTGTCTTATTACTAAGTATAACATTGTGATGTTTGACATGTCTATATTGTTAAACTCACACACTCACAAAAGATAATAACAACTTTATTATGAAAGAATGATAGCGAGTTTCATTTTCGAAACTCAGAAATAGGTTAACAACAGGTATTATCAGAATCGAGCTATTGATACAACTAACTAAAAAAAAATCATAACACCGACGAGAGAGAGGTTGCTTAGCAACGTAAACGTTCTTTTGCTCTTCAGATGAACCACACATAACAATATTTTTAAATTTAATGACGATAATTACTTTAAACTTTGGATTATTAGCAATGATAATATGAATTTAAAAAATTTGAATTTCTACATGTTGTGTTGTTGACAATTTAATAAAAGACCTGAGGAGGCTGGAAGGCAAACCAGCGAAACGTTGTCATAATCAATTGTATATGATTAATTAGTTGAAGTTTGTGTGTCACTCTTAATAACTTTATAATTTAGTTTATTGTATCATTCTAATTGATGTCTATGACTTATTATTTATTTTTTACCTTTAATTCTACTACTTACAAGAAAACATTTCGAACCCTTCGTCTTTAATTTCGCTGTAATTTGGATATGTTATAGATTATTGAAAAATTAAAGATACGTATTTTCTTATTGGCGAAACAGGATTTCCATTTTCTATAACGAACTATATTTATTTTTCTAATGCCATAACTAATTAACAGTATATTAATAATATTAATTCAGTACGGTTCGAGCTGTTGAAAGTGTCAGACGTGTTTAGTTCCACCGCTTGAGATTTACGTAAATTGTGTTTACGCCGCGGGCTGGCCGCGGCGATCTTCGGTGTATTACTGTATATAAATCCAACTCCATAGAGTTAAATAGAAAAAGGAAATAAATAAAATGTCGGTTGTAAATAACGACAGCAAGCTACTGTCAATGACGTAAGATTCTTAAAGTTATGAAAGTTCCCAAAGTGAAGCTGTGAAAACCAATGTACAAAATAAAAATAAGCAAGTGCCATCATTCTCAAAAGTAGTCAGTAACAGTTTATTTCTCAAGAAAAGCCGAGCTATTGTCATTAATATAGTCGAAGGAATAAAGGTAAAAGCGTACCTGAAAGCTATAGTCATCAAAACACTATCTACTAATATAGTTACTGCATCTAAAATTGCCTAAAATCGTTTCTGTTGTTATTTAAATATCAAAAAATTATTTGATGAATTGACAGAAGAAGTAAACAATGTAATTGAACTTAATAGCTGTAAATTAAAAATGAGACCATACGTTACAAAGGCAAAGCACGTTATACTCTCGAATGTTCATTCCTGCATACCTCATGAGGAAATCATAGCAAAATTGAAAGAATACAAGGTTATACCCAAATCAAACATGAACTTAATTAGACTTGGATTTGACGAACCTGGTTTTGCACAAGTAGTGAGTGTTAGACGACAGATATTTATAGCACCTGAAGATGTAAATAAACTCCCGTACGATTTCATGATCGACTTCGAAAATACTGTCTTTCACATATATATATCGACTGACAAGATAATATGCTTCACATGCCATCAGGAAGATCATACGGCCTGATATTGTTCAACGACAAAAGATACGAATAACGATTCGACTCTCTCACAGCAAGTAGGACAGGATTCTGGGAAAAACACAGAAACAAGCACAAATAGAGAGATTAATAGTAATACACGAGACTATGAGAATACAAGTGATAGCATGATGGGTGAAGCCTCTCACACCAAGGATGAAACAATGGTATTCCATGGAACAACATTATTTCACGAACCCTCAGCTACAGGTAAAATAAATACACCAAAGCGACAAGCGCCTTCCACTAGTTCTTCAGCTCTTAATTTAAATGATAATGAAGCAATTAACTCACAGTCGGTTAATCCGAGCAAACAAGCGTGAAAAAAAAGAAGAAAATTGGTCATAATAAGATCCCTCTTTTGGATCTACATTCTAAAATTAAATCTGTTGTATTAAGTATAGATAAAAGTAAAATTTCAACATTTTCAATAATGCATGATAAACTGTCTAAGTATTCGATTGACACATACAAAAGTAAATATAGTGAAGTGAAAACAATTGCTGAAAAATATGTTATCAATTACTTAGCGCTAATAGTAATGCTCCGCAAGGTGCAAGTTTAATAAAGTAAAGTAACATCAACGTAAGTATTACACGTATTATTAACAATTTAGTAGCAGAAAAAACGGAAGCTGATGGCGACGACTCAATCGCCTCAAAGAGCCAAGATGACAACTAAATATGGACACGAATAGTGACTGTACGATATACAGTTCCTTTAAGTTGCGTATTTTTTTTGTAATGCTCGGAGCATTTGTAAAAAAAAGAAGAAATTGAAAAGATAGTTCAAAAATATGATGTAATGGTCACAGTAGAGTTATGGCTACAGAATAACATAAAATTTTATTTTGCTGGTTTTAATACGGTAAGATTAGATAGGTTACACAAAGCAGGTGGCGGCCTAGTTTTTTTAATACGTAAAACGATGTATTGTAATGTAATCAAAAATATTTAACAGGTTAATGCACAAGCTAGATTATGTGGTGTTGAAATCACAAAATTGAGAGAATCCTTGACTATAATAGCGTATTATAAGCCCCCCCGACGTTATTTCAAATGAGACAGAATGGGACATATTAGTGAGCACCTCTAAAATATAAGAAAATTGTATCCTACTAGATGATTTCAAGGAACATAATGAGGCGTGAAATTGTATCGCCAGTGGTAAAATATTATTAGAACAGATAGATATAAACACTATCTCTTCTTACACAACCCTGACACACTAACACGTTACGATAAAGGCACGAATAATAAAACGAATATTGATCTTATCTTTACTACAATGAACATAGCACATAATATAAATGTAACAGTCTCTGATGACCCTCTAAACTCTGATCATTTCTCGGTATATATTACATACGATACTAAAAAAGAACTTTATTATCAAAAATTCTTTAAAATACAGTCGAAACGTACTAACTAGAACGGGGTCACTGAACTATTCGAGAAACATTTTGAAAAATTCTTGAATAAGTACTATGTTGAATCACCTCCCCTTCAAAAATACGATTTATTAACTAAAATTACTAAAGACGAAGTTTCTAAATCCACACCTAAAAAGTAAATTGTTAATCCAAAACAACAGCGAAACCCTGTGCCTTGGCGGGATAATGAATGTAACTGTATTAAACGGCGAAGAAAAGCTGCTTATAAGAAATGGTAATATACACGTAATATAACTGATTGGATAGAGTTCAAAAGAATGAGAGCTTTGGCCAAGAAGATTTTCAAACAAAAGAAAAAAGTATGTTATCGTAAATTCTTAGAAACTATCGATTTTAATGTCACCTTAACTTACATATGGAACATCACAAAAATACTTAAAAATAAATGGGTAAAATCAAATCCCCTGAATCGAGATAACTTCAATAAAAATTCTTCGACGAGCCATTCAGTTACACCGAATTAAATACAGCTTTGAATTCTCGTGATAATAATTC